GGAGGCGATTGAGAATCGCCTCCACCTTACGGTTAAGCTCGTAGACCAGACGATTTAAAGTTCCCACAGCGAGGACCAGACCTTCACACTGACTCGGAAGCTTTTCCATGGCCGAAACTGCTGCCGATGTCTTTTTCAAAAGTCGATAAAACAGAGCCCCGCCAATGCCAAAAAGCAGAGTCCCTGCTATCATAAGTCCAAATATGTAAACGTCTTCAACATCCTCTTGAGACAGGACTGTAATGCACATCAATTGCCACACTCCCCACAAATCCATGATGTACCCCACAACGTGAGTCTCAGCTGGACACGTCGGTTCTCCAGGACCTTGTCGCTTTGATGAAAAAAATCTCATCAATAGAGTTGATTGCCCACGATACCAAATCCATAATCTTCTTAATTTAGGTTCAGGAGATGAGACCCAGGCGCTTCAGACAGACAGAGAGCAGAGCAGGAAGAAGGAAAAAACGGAGGAGGAGAAACAGAAGCTGCCACCTTGATCAGAGCCTGGGAGGAAAAATCCCCAATCTCTCTCAGGTTTCCTCTTCTACACAGAGTGTAGTTGACCTGTGTACTCCTGCCTCCACTCTTATGTTCCTCCCTCATTTGGAAAAAAAGTACTTACTATAACCATTTCCATTCTCTTAGCAAAATCTACCACCATCGGTCCTTCCTGGTTTATTTTCTTGACACCAAACCTACCCATCGCTTCTTCATCCCCTCTGTTTCCTTCACCAACATGTCCATTCAGGTCTGCTCTGATCACCACACTCTCCTCCCTGGGAATACTCACTGTCACTTCATCCAGATACTTCCAAAATTTATTTTTCTCCTCCACATCACATCCAACCTGTGGAGCATAACCACTGACAAAATTTAGCATTAGACCTTCTACTTCTACCTTCAGACACATCTCCCTATCTGACACTCTTTTCACCTCTACTATATTCTTTGCCAACTCCTCCTTCAGGACCACTCCTACTTAATTTCTCTTTCTATCCACACCATGGTAAAACAATCATCATGCCTCATCATACCTGATGATATTAACATGTTTTATTCAACTTTCAACATTTTCACTAATGTATAAACTGTACTTTTTTGGGAGGGGAGTGGGCAGTGGAGGACTGGTGTACTCTTCCTGTCCCGAAGTGCTCACATATGGTCAGAGCTCCCTGCTGCCCTCCAAGTTGCACTGAAAACAAACCACAGCCGCTGCTAATCCCGCTCTGGGTGACAAATCTCCCACGTGCCAACCTCCCATAACCTTTGCACCTAAAATCTAACTTAATGTGTTTGGAGCATCGTCATTATTGATTACGATAATTTCCTGGGGGATCAATAAAGTTCTTATCTTATCTTGTGACCCAACTCCTGGTTTTCAAGAGCGAGTGCTGCTATGGGATCGCGCACAGCCTGTTTGAATATCTCTGTGAGACTCGTGTTTCTGCTGCCTTAGCTCTTACAATTAAACAATAACAACACTAAAATATAACTATTTGTATGTCCTGGATTATAGCAAAGATGTGTGTTTCAGTTTAACTTTATTTTTTCCCTCAAAATCGTGAAGTTCTCTTTTTGAGAGAGTCAGTTTCAGGTGTGTTTATCATAAATATCTTTATATCTGTACATAAGTATCTGTACATTTTAAATCATTTTGAGATGTGGACAAATGTGAATGACAATAATTTTACCTTAGTCCATATCCATATCCAAGTACAGGGGTTTTATGTTTCAGCTTTACTTATAATAGGTTTTGTGAAAGTCAACATTTTCCTGTAAACTTTTGGAGGGGGTTCTGCAAAAGGAGCATGTTTTAAACGCTTGTGAAAATGTTGGCAATTATGAACCACCACTTATATATAAGGATTGATGATGATGATGATGATTATCCTTTATTTTTTTCTCTTAGATTGAACAATCATTGTACGTTTTCAAAAGAAAATATTTTCAAGTTGAAATCATAAAAACAATATTTTCTGCAGGTTTGAAGTAAATGAAGAAGAAAGAAAGTGTGACGACTACTTGTTCGAGAACAACACAGCCATTGGATGTAACCGGCCCTGCAACAAAGCAGATCGATTCTACACATTTAATACTGTTCTGAGACATGACAGCAAGATGTATTCAAAGAAACACGACCTTAAAATGAGAGGTACGGACATTTAATTTAACATTAAGCTACATTATTCTTAGTAGTGAACCTTTAATACAGGCCCCATTCTAAAAATGTTGTAAAAAGTGTAAATAAAAACTGAATGCAATGATACGATTAAAATTTATAAACTGATACAACACAAAGTTATAAAAGAAACAGTTTGAGGAGCTTTTACAACACATTATGTTAATTGGGAAGATGTCAGCCAGAGGACTTAAAAAGAAGATTTTGAAGAGGCTCAATCTATCAGAAGTAAAGAAGGGCAGAGATTCACCATGCAGACCACAAAAACTATGCATCTAAGACAGTGGAAAAAATTTAGGAGATTCAAACCAACTAAGTTCATGCTCAATAATCCAGGTACAAATCCAACAATGTTCAGTCAGGTCATCGAGATGGTTTATTTTTTTGTTGAGACGTTTCGTCCTTCATCCAAAGGACTTCTTCAGTCCGAGGAGCCACAAACAAACTGGAGTCCCACAAGCACCAACTCCCATAGTGGGAAAAAAAACCTGTTTGTTGGTGGTAAACTGTGTCCTCAGACTGAAGAAGTCCTTTGGATGAAGGATGAAACGTCTCAGCAAAAAAGAAACCATGCCAATGACCCAACTGAACATTGTTGTATTTGTACCTGGATTAATGAGCATGAACTTTGGGGTTTTGAACCATTTTAGGGGAGTTGATGGGGGAGAGGGTGGCCTCCAGAAACAATTTTATCACCAGCAAACTGTTTTTATTTTTCTACTATGGGAGTTAGTGCTTGTGGGACTCAGTTTGTTTGTGGCTCCTCAGACTGAAGAAGACCTCTGGATGAAGGCCGAAATATCTCAGCAAAAAAAGAAACCGTCCAGATTACCTGACTGAACATTGTTGGAAATTTAGAAGATGTTCCTAAAACAAAACATTGTGAGGACTGATTATCCCATCATCTACAGTTCAAAATATGTCTGTGCCCAAAGGACAAGGTAGAAAGTCAACATTGGATACCAGTGATCTTTGGGCCCGCAGGTGGAACTTCTTTGTCTGATTCTGTTTTGGACATCCTTGTACTGAAGTAGAGAGATCATCCAGCCATAAGCACAGTTCAAAATCTTGCCTCTCTGATGGTATAGGGGTGCGTTAGTGCCTATGGTGTGTACAGCTACAAAGCTATAGAGGGGATGTGTCTCAGTAGGAAACAGTTCTGTCCCAACACTTCTGATTTGTTGCTTTAACCAAAAAATGGTACAATTTCTTAAACAATTGGTTTCATCATAAAAAAAAATGTTTGTGAGATTTTCAAATCGTCACATTATTTTTTATTTGTATTATTAAACAGAACTTTCAAATTGTTCAGAACTGGGTTTGTAAGTAATGAGACTGATTTTAACAAATACCAACATATGCTAATCTCTACAAATTAAATGAAAGTTTAACATAATCACATTTTCTGTCATTTTTTGTGCTGTCACCAGTCAAGTTAAATCCACCAACTAAGGTGACTGTAAAAAATGGATCTGACTTCAACCTGTGGTTTTACTGGAACCAGACTGCAACGTGTGTGGAGAGGGAAGTTCGCTACAGAATAAACAACAACAAGTGGGAGGTAGGCTGCTGCTTTCTTCTGTTTTATACTGTCAAACTTTATTTTTAGTCAATTAATTCCTTCATCTTGTTTCAATTATCATTTTATTTTGCAGACCTCTAAAGCTACTGCTGACAGTTACTACATCAACTTCCCCTCCAGCAGCGCCAGATATGAGCTGCAGGTACGAAGTAAAATGGCTGAGATGTGTGGAGGCTCCATATTCTGGAGTGACTGGAGCGAGCCTGTGGTCTGGGGCTTCAATAAAAGCACAAGTAAGCTGCCAGCTGTTTGTTACAGTTTGTACATCTGCAGATAAATTATTGTACAACTAAATGCCCTCTTTTCCCTTCCCAGATACAAACATTTTAAAAGACTCGATATCCGTGTGGACGCCAGTGCTTTATGCAGTGGGGGCCATCACTCTGATCCTGCTGGTCCTGATGTTACTGCAGCATGAACGGTGAGTATCCCATCCTGCTTTAGTGCCTCTGTCTGTGTGAAATTTGGCTGCTGCTAAATATCTCATGAACCCCTGAGTGAATTTTAACAAAACTCTTGGAAAGTAATCATGATTGACATTTAGAGCTGATTAACATTTGATGATAATTTGACTCAAGATGGCCGCCACAGTTAAATGTCTTAGGAAAACACAAATATAGCTATAACTCATTCAGTTTCACAGATATTGGTCTCAAAATGTGTGATGGTAGCTAATGAAAAATATTTAGCTTGAAGTTTTTCATGCAAAGTGGTGTGGGGTAGGCATTTCTTTAAGGAATGCTAATTTTTATTATTATTACTCATTTATCATGAGTGACTTATATATATGTGACTTTTTTTTCCTTTCCTTTTTCAATCCTGCATATATTTTGCTTTTTTTTTTTTTATCCAACTGGACTGGTTTACATATTAACTTTTGTTAGCTAAAATGTAGCTTAAATAAAAGTAATGTTCACTAATAACCTGAATTTGTTTAAATTTATGAGAATCACTTTTCAGCAACTGAATTACACTATAAAACACTTTGTTAACATTAAGAGGTGGAATATATACTCAGATCTTTAAGCTGCTTCAGTTACATTTAGACCGTTATTGTCCCTCAGGGAGAAATTTGGTTAAAATGACACATGACAAGACCAGTTAATGCAGGCAACAATTTTCATGATGTTTTATCTTTATGTTGAGCATGTATCATATTTCAGTTCTATAATGAGCTATGAAGCAGGAACGTTAAACACCAAAAACATTATTGTGACTATTCAGAAATGAGCCATGCTCAGCTTTAGAGTTTAGGAGATGAAGCTCTTAAATGTCTTAAAAGTAAAAATGTTTCACTCATTCAGGTTCAGAATCATCCTCATCCCTGTGGTTCCCAAACCATCGCTGAACTCCCCAGACATAGAGGTTAGTACTGTCTAAAACCTTCCCACAAACTCAAATTTATGCTGATATCTAAAGATGCTGTCCGCTGCTTCACTTGTGTCCGTGCTATCATTTTAAACTGGAATTATTAAATACAGGACTTGCTGTGAATTTGACTGATCAGATTTGAGATTTCACTAAGATAATTAAAATTTATTTAAAGAGCATACAAATGTCTCTTTACTGAGATGGGATGAATAGGTCAGGCAAACCATGACCGACTGTACAAAATGCGTTGCGCCATGTGTGTCAGTTACTGAGGTGGACCAACAGCAGTGGCGGCTCATCAATAGGGGGTGCCAGGGCGCCGCCCCACCAACCAGACCACTCACCATATTACACTGAAGACTTAAAAATATTAAATAAAAATGAAATAATAAAATTGAAATATTTCAAAATGTATGTATGTTTTTTGTTGTGTAATATATATATTTTATAGTTAATGAAGAGTTAAGTTGTTTCTTTCAAAAACATTGATTGATGATGTATTTCCGCTCTGGGGTCGCAAGAATCTTAGCCCATAGACTCTCATTAAAAGTTGTACATGCACAGTTAGCTCCTCTTCATTACAAGAGATAGGAAAATTCTGGGCGCACCGCTCCAGCGCCCTGAGTACCAGCGCACTGTTTGGATCGTGCTTCCGGTCCCGCCATCCCAGTACAGATTATTTTTTTTATTGTTTTGGTCCTGGAACAGATCATGCAGTGACACTCACAACCAGGCTATGTATGAAATATTATTTAGCTGTCAGACAGCAGCATATTTAAAAGAGGCGCAGCATTAATCTTGATCGGGCAGATAGTTAGGAGACCCACCGCTTCATTCGGCGCTGGGTTGTTTATGCCAACCAGGGTCCTGTGTAGAAAGGAGAGAAGACTGGAGGCGACAGTGAGGCGATGTGGAAAATTCTAACGGCCGTCATCATTAATGTACCTTATTGAAATTGTATTTACACGTAGCTGTCAGATCTTTTAAAAGAGGCGCAGCATTAATTTTGATCAGGCAGATAGTTGGGAGACCCACCGCTGCATTCAGCGCTGGGTTCATTGATGCCGGCCGAGGTCCTGTGTAGAAAAGTGAGGACTGGAGTGGACCACCACCTCAAGCGACGTGGAAAATTCTAACGGCAGTCATCATTAATGTGCCTTATTTACTGTGTTTACACAGCAAGGAATGAGTTAATAAAGAGTGCAGACGTGAGCATGAGTGAGCGAACCGATGAGTCTGTGATGTGTGTGTGTGTGTGTGTGTGGAATGTCTTGAACATATTTGGTATATGTCTATTTTGGAGTTATATCCCCGGTGGAATTTCCACCAGCCGCCACTGACCAACAGATTGATACTGGTTTTCTTTGTTTTCCCTTTTTGAAGGATTGGTTTCAGTTCTCCAAAGGCCTGATGAAAGAAGGCTTCAAAGCCAACTACAACGAGCAGGCCTGCCAGGTGCGTGAGTACACCTATGTCTCACGGTCCGACAGCAACAGCTCCGACGGCTCAGACCTCACCGTCAACACAGATCAAACCGATTGCTCCGTCTTCATCGCTGGGAATGAATAGGAGGATCCGTAAACAGCTTTTATTCCTCTCCAATCTCATCAAAAGATGAATGGCAGTTGTTTGTTTAAACGCATTCAAGTTTGGGTTCATGTATGTTAAATAATTCAGACTTTTTGTGGATGGACTTTTTTTTTTTTCATTCAACCTTTATTTAAACAGATAAATCACATTGAGCCTCGAAGACTCATTTACAGGTGAGACCTGTTTGGACAGACAAAAACAGTGGTTAACTGGACACATGTAGGAGTAGGAGGCAAAAAAAAATTCCTATCAGACTTTTTTTTTCCTGCCTGAGAAAAAAAGCCCTCTAATATTAAAACAACACCTCGCACAAACAAGCACATAGTAACGTAGACATTCTGCAAATGGAGGAGACGAGATCGGTCAGCAATGTTCATAGATGCTCTCAAGGTCACTGTAAGAGTTCTGATAAGGATGGAATAATCAGTCAATGTCCTCCGGTGAGATCCATAAACATTCTCGAGGTATGTCGAGGAATGGCCAAGAATAACATCTTTGAGAATCCAACAGTCCTGAAATGATGACGCAAAGTTTATTCAGCTGGTTCCATCTGGTTATCAGTTGGAAATTCCTCGATGGTAGGGGGAGGGGGGGCAGAGCGTCAGATCACATGTTCTCCAGGTAAATTCAGATAAGATGGTCTTCAAGGCCAGCCAAGGGAGCCAACTTCAGATAAACACACAGTTGTTTTGGGGACAGGCAGAACTTAATGACATCTACCTTTAGTCTGTGTTGGTCCACTCGGTTCCGAAATGTCCAAAATACATAGCCACACCGATGGAACGTGACTGAGTAAAATCCCCAAGATCTGATCCATTCAGCCCAAAGCATTTGAGTCTGGGTACTCGAGACACGAACCAAGCCATCATAAAAGCAAGCAGCGTGATCGGGTCCAAATTTGCTGCCAACGACTTCCTTGATTGTAGACAAAACCAGCCACCAGCCAAATCCAAAAAGCAGGAACCAGTTATTGTAAATCCAATTAAATGTGCGTCGTTAAAATCCACAGATGGCAGCAGAGATAGACACATCATCAATTCTTCCAGTCGATGAGATATCCAGCTGCGTGCGTTCCAACAGGGCAAATCAACTCGCCTAAAGCCTGTCTTCTCTTTGAAGAAATGTTGTAAATTGAGTTGAGGGGCCAACTGATCAAAACAAGTCGATAATTATGGTTCGGGGGATATGCAAGAGAGCTCACAAGCAGTTTCACAGACAGACAGAGCGCAAAGCAAAGCAGAGAGGGAGGGGAGAAGCATCCATCTCGGCGAGAGGAAGTGGTGAAGTGCAAGGATCAAAAAGGCACAATGTCAAAGTTACAGCTGAAATCTGGAAAACAGGGTGAAAGCAAAAGCTTAAATTAGTAAATATACTGGGCTACATTATCTACTTTTTAAACTGATATTTAGCAATTTTTAAAGCGTGATCAAATGCATCGAGGGACTGTCCTGTTAGTTATTTGCCTCAGACAACCCCTCAGTATCAATGTTACTCAGCCCTCTGCTGTCATCTTATTGTAGGACTAACAGCAGAAAAGGCAGCAGAAGGTGAACATTTAAATACCAATACAATTATTTGATTCTAAACTTTTTGGTGGCCTTATGTAATGTTATATTTTTCTTTTAAATTATCAGGAAAATTGCCCAGTTGAACACAAATGGTAGCTCCTCCAGCAGTCGTCAAACGTTTTGGTTCTTCAAAATAAGAGACTTCGTGATGAGTTCGGCAAACAACAGCAACCCAGGAAAAAAAAAACATTTAATTTTATTTCAGCACGTCAAATCAACATTATACAAAAGGAAATAATCAAGAATGTTAAATTTGATTGTGTTGTTAAATTGCGTGGGGCTTTTGTTTTCATTTTTATTTTTTACTTTTGTTGTTTTGTAGTTTGGTTTTGGAAAAGGGTTCTTTTTTAAATTCTTGTATTTTTTTCTAAATATTGTTCTACAGACTACATAAAAAGACTGAAAGTAAAGAAAAAAATGCTGGTTGGTCTAAATTTGCGAGTTTTCTTTTGACATGTTAATAATTGTACTGTTTAAATAAAATAAGCAACGACATGCAATTTATTCACTTGTGTATTTAAATGTAAATGTGGTTGGCTGTGAATGATTAGTACAGACAGCAGCAATAGTTTATGTTATATTTTATGAGGCAGAATTCCATCACTGTTATGCTGGCCAGATTTTATTCTTGTACTTGTACTTTTGGGGGGGGGGGGGGGGGGTTGCCAGGACTCCATTAATTGACTTATCAGCATTTGATAAAGCAGCTTAAGGAGAAGCTGACAAACAAACAGCATGTGTTGGCAGTGAAATGTTACACTCCATCATATTGAGCATGGGAGTTCCTCAGGGATGTGTGCATAGTCCTCTGTTCTTTACCCTTTAAACACATGGCTGTGCTGCCAAATTCAGAACAAATAAGTTTGCAGAGGACAACAATAGTGGTACTGACTCACTGATAATGTATTTTAGTCACTACAACTAACTACCAACTGCTCTTTGCAATAAATTTCAATGAGTCACTTTAAGAACAATGTAACATCTTACTGCACACAGTCTTTTAGGCCTTATCCTCACAGAAACATAGTTTTCCCAAAAACAACAGTTTTATTTGTCTTTAAAAAAAAAAAAATCCTTTTAAACACAGCACAATTGCTGCTGTATTCATTTGTACCCATCTGCTCACCACGGACTCATTCAGTCTGCTGTTGTTACACCGTATTGTTTTGCATTAGCGTTTAGCATATATCTTCTGGTGTGCCGTTTGGCGTTCATTTGGATGTATATCTTAGATCCTTATATACTGTTTCTATTTACATTTTTGCTATTGTTGGGTGTAATTGGGACCCTGTGTACATAATTTTGTTCCATCTCCTGTACCACATGTGATGAGAACAACAATGAAATTGAACTTGATTTCTAGAAATGTCTCCAAGTATTGAAAATGACATAAAATACTATAATACATGGCAGGCCTGTTGTGTGGCACTGTAAAGCTACAAAATTTTTACACCAAAACAAGAAACAATGTGTGGAGCAGGAGCTTAAACCTTGCACGCTGAGCACTAAATGTGAACACAACACAAAGAGGACAAACTCAGGTCAAAGGATAGATTTGAGTGATGGCTAAGACGTTGTTTTCCAACGGTTGCAATTTGGCTGTCTACAGAAAAAATGCAAAGTTGTTGTCTAGCAGGTGGAAAGTAGCAAATAACATTTACTTGTATAATGTAACTGAGTATAAATTTTGCGTACTTTGTGCCGCTTAAAGTAATTATTACAATCTATAGATTTACTTTTACTTGATAATGTTTTGTTCCAATTGTTTAACTAATAAATTTGAAATTGTTACACAATAAAATAACCTAATACAACAACAAACCGTGTCTGCATTATATATGGCCATTACAGAACATCATCTAACCCTATTACAGTGTCAGTGAAAATAAAAGATTAAACACACACACAATAGCTTAACCAACATGTGAACTTCAGAATATAAAACTGAACATAGTAAACAAAAATGTCTGTAAGAAACAGGACTCTCACTCTGTCCTCTGCATCCTCTGTCCTCACTCCTCTCTAACTGCATCTGTTCTTTGTCTTTTTCCTGGCAGCTGCATTTCTAACATCCTTCTACCAATACAGTATACCCACTGTCCCTCCTCTGCAAATGGTCAAACCATCTCAGTATGGCCTCTCTAACTTTATCTCCCAGCCATTCAATCTGTGCTGTACCTGTAAATGACCCCACAATGCTCCTCAACATAGCTTTTGATTTAGGCTTTTATTTAATTTTTCCTTTATTGGCGGGACTTTTATTTTGATATACTTCCTGTAACTTTACGTGCATCCTGTAAATGTAAGTAGCTGGATTACAGCAAAATAGGCAGGGAAAATGGTTAATGAGGAAGAAGCTCTGGGTTAAAAGGCTTTACAGACTTTTTATTAAGTGCTCAGCTGGAATGGGAATAAGTACTGATGACCAGATGAAGCTTCATGAAGCCACAAAGATTTCATTAAAAGTGGTTCAAAAAATGTTAATTTGTCAATGATTCATGTGCACACAACATTTGCATTTTTTTAAATAAACACATCAGTACAATTTAATTCATTAGATGTGGGCCCGTGAATATGAATACTGGGGTCATTGTGACTTTATTCATTTTTTATTTTTTTTAAGGACAAGTATTTTTTTTTTTTTGATACTGAGCTTGGACTCAATTGATTTCTCTTTGAAATTGTTCTCCACATGTCTGCTGTCAAACTCTCTGCAGGAACTTTCTGGACCTCGGCTTTGGCCTTCTTCTCTTTGTGCTTTTTGGCCTTAACCATAGCCTTAATAACCTAAAGGAAAGAAAGAAAATAATGATTTTTAAATTTTAATTTTATGCCCTGTTGCTCTTATGATTTTTTTCCTGATGGTTAAGGAAACAATTAAAGCAACATCTTGAAACATCAATACACTTCACCATTGTCTGGTTGAGGTTTGTACCTCTGATGAACTCATTGCGGATCTTATCCATCCTTGTTACTCCTAAGGAGAACCTCAACAGCTCCAACTCTGCAGCTTCTATTCCTTTTCCCTGTCTTTTTGATAATGCAATACAAAACAATGCAATTTATTTTTATTTTAGCACTTTAAAAAAAAGTCCGTTGACTAAAGTGCTGTAAACTGATATAAAAATAAAATGAAACAGAAAAAAACATAAAAGCAAGCATAAATAAACAATCAAATCAATAAAAACAGGGGAAAAATTATAGTGATTTGGTAAAATCATTGAAATAAACAATAAAACAAAAAAGTAAAAGCTTAAAAACCTTAAGCTGAGTTAAACACCAAAGAGAAAAACTGTTTTAAGAGAAGAGTTGCAAACAAGGAAGTGAGTCAGTCAGTCTAATGTGCAAAGGCAGCCCATGTACATGTAAAAAGTTCAGCGACATCTATGTTTTGATCTCTGTTATTTATAC